AAACATATAGCCATAATACTGTCTTAAGAAGTATTTTGACCAACTAGCAGCTAGCCAAGAGGTAATAATCAGACTTACTTTTCTGATTCAAGTTGGGCCAATCTACCTTTTTGTGTCTGACTTCAAAAAGGTATGACCAGTCTTGAAGAAAACAAATTAGACGAGAAGCAGTTTATTAGAGTCCAAACTGTTTATGCAACCGACCCCAGACGCACATCCCAGCGTGTTGATTTATTTCACCACTAGATGGAGCCAGATCCATTCAGAAACATTTCAAATGTCCCTGCTCTAAGAAGAAAGTATATTTTAAAGAAATGTCAGTATCATCGTCAAAGGATTTAGCAGACAGATTCAGTAAAGCTATCTAAATGTGTTGATAAATTTAATTAATTAATTAATTAATTAATTAATTAATTAATTAATTTGTGTTACTGCGCCACCTAGTGTTGAAAGTGGACAAGTGACGCACAGATCGTATTTGGATGTTTCATTGTTGCAGTCAGTCACCAGGTACACTTGCATCATGACATTACTGATCAATGGAAAATGGAATCTACTGAACTGATCCAGTGTTATTTAACTATTTCCCCCCAAGATACCTCTAAATCCCGACAGCTATCTAAATGTGTTGATCAATTTCATTAATTAATTAATTAATTAATTCATTCATTCATGGGTTTCTTTGACCTTATTGGAACATAAAAGTGTTGTAGTCTATGATTTAGAAAGACACTCTAGACACACTTTAGTAGTAGTAGTAGTTTTTTTTCAGTCAGCTACTACTACCAAAACGTTTCATACCTGAAGTCTACAGTACCATATATTTATTTGTATTTATTTGTAATTTGAAATGTACCCATTGAGATGTAACATTCTTTTTGAATTACATGATGAATAGACTTAAATATTAAAAGTGTGTATCTGTAGAATCAGTATCTGTTATATAATAGTTATTTTAAGTCAGGAGTGCGGCACTGTTTTAGTATTATTTATATACTATTAGTTTTTACTTATATTTTGAATCAGCATTTATTATTATACTTTTAGTTTTAATTTTAATAATTTTATAATTGTGTTGTGCTTTTGTCAGTTTTATTATTTTAATTTCTAAATACTTTTTTACTTTTATTATTATGTTTTTTTTTGTAATTTTAGTACTCCAACTTCAGCTTCATCTAATATTAATTAGATTTTATTTCGGCTTTATTTCAAGTAACAAAATCCTTTTAAGAGTCAAAATTTAAATTCAAAAGTTAAAAAATAAAAATCATTATTTTTAATTAACAGTAACAATACTGAAGTACACAACTAGGACACAAATGGCACAGTTTCCTAAGAATAATCCATACAATATAAAAGGTATTCTATATAAAATATTTCTTGAAATATACTGTAGTAGTTCTCATTTGACAAAGCGTTCCAATAGCAATCTGGGAAGGAAATCCATTATTCATAAGTATATGTGCACATGAGCGCTGGCATCATTAGTGGGTCTTACTTCTACCTGAGACATGCTGTCACTGTGCTGCTACAGCAGAGCAGAGATCAAGGCTGCTGTTGTCTGTACATCGAGAGGAAACCCAACTGAAGCAGAGACTCTGAGTGTGTGCGTTAGTCCAGGAAAACAATAGGAAAAGTGAGTTTCACAAGCTCATTATGAGTTCACCTCAGGCTCCTGCACCTTGGTGACAGAGCAAAAGACATGAGAAATGAGAGGAGTGTGAGACTTAGACAGGAACAGGCGAGAAAGGAAAAAAAGCCAGTGAAAGAGGCTGTGCTCCCCTCTTCTTGGTGTGTGGTGACAGAGACAGATGGAGGTAGATATACACTGTGCTTCTCATTTACAATACATCGTCTCTCTCTCTCTCTCTCTCTCTCTCTCTCTCTCTCTCTCTCTCTCTATTCTTTGTTTCTGCTCTGCTTCCCATTTCCATCTCAGTTTAAGTTATTGAGATAAAGGACCATATATACCCTAGTCACTATTCCTGTCATGTTCTGTGCTCACATGATTCCAGCTAAATTCTAGTTCTATTTTCTGTAGAACACAAAATTGATGCAGGAATACATAGACCAGTATTTCCCAGTGTTTTGTTTATTTTTGGCTCACGTTCCACAACAGCGCCATCAGTAGGGCTCAAATAACCAAATGTGCTGTTTAAAAAATATGAGGTTAGTCTGATTGAATTGTTATTATTATTATTATTATTATTATTATTATTATTATTATTAGTAGTAGTAGTAGTAGTTTTTTTAAAGCTAATATCAGTAATTGTGATAAACCATTTTGTATCTTTAAATTTATTATAACAACATGACAAAACAACATGAAATACCTTTGGGAAATTGACATTCTACAGTTTGACATGCTAAACTGTAAAAGTATTTTAAAGCATTTTTTAAATAATTGTTTCTTAAATTGATAATACATTAGCACTGCATGTAAAAAAAGTTAATTAATTATATAAATAATATAAAAATATAATATACAATACAATTATTATATAAATTATTATGTAGGCTAGTGTAACACACATACACACACACACACACACACAAACAAACAAACAAACAAACACATATGCATTCAAAATAATTATTCATAAATAATA